CATTGTTGTTTGGTGGGCCGAGCTGGATTCGAACTCGCCACCTTAGGTGTATGTGGCTGGCGCCTTAGCCACTTGAGCCACAGGTGCCGAGCCACAATTTAAATTCTTTAAGGCCCGTGCGGTGGCTCATGCCTATAATTCCAGCACTTTGGGAGACTGAGGCAAGTGGATTGCTTGAACTCAGGAACTCAAGACCAGCCTGCGCAAGAGCAAGACTCTGTCTCTAAAAATAACTGAGCCTTGTGGTCGGTGCTTGTGGTCACAGCTACTCAGGAGGCTAAAGGCAAGAGAATCACTTGAACCTAAGAGTTTAAGGTTGCTGTGGGCTATGATGCCATAAGCACTCTAATGAGGTGACAAAGTGAGACTCTGCCTTCCCCTTCAAAACAAATTCTTTATTATTTAACATTCATGAACTCAGGAAGTTTGTTTGTTTGTTTTTTCTGAGACAGAGTCTCACTTTCTCACCCTTGGTAAAGTACTGTGGAGTCATAGCTCACAGCAACCTCAAACTCCTAGGCTTAAACGATTCTCTTGCCTCAGCCTCCCAAGTAGCTGGGATTACAGGCACCCACCACAACACCTAGCTATTTTTATTTTTAAGAGACGAGGTCTTGCTCTGGCTCAGGCTAGTCTTCAACCTGTGAGCTCAGGCAATACACGCTCCTTGGCCTCCCAAATGCTGGGATTAGAGGCATGAGCTACTGTGCTTAGCCTTTTTTATTACTTTTTTTTTTTTTTTTTTGAGACAGACTCTCAAGCTGTCACCTTGGGTAGAGTGCCACGGCACCATCATAACTCACAGCAACCTCTAACTTCTGGGCTCAAGTGATCTTCTTGCCTCAGTTTTTCTATTTTTAGTAGAAACAAGGTCTTGCTCTTGCTAAGGCTGGTCTTGAACTGGTGAGCTCAATCTTCAACCTCCCAGAGTGTGAGGATTACAGGTGTGAACCACTTTTTGTCTTTTTAAAGAGTCAGGCTTCTGCTATGTTGTCCAGGCTGGAGGGCAGTGGCTATTTACAGATGTAGTCATAGCACACGACAGCCCCAAACTCCTGGGCTCAGTAACAATCCTCCTGCCTCAGCCTCCTGAGTAGCTGGTGTTGCACACTTGGCTCTCAGTTCAGGAGTTTAATGCACAAATGTGACAAATATAAAAAGACTCATTAAAATTCATCATCATGCCCTTTCACTGACTATCCTTGAGGAAATGGTTACTATAATATCTTCATAGGAAGAGAAAAGAATTAGAAACTGCTTACATTTTTGTAGATACTATAATTTTTATACAACTATAAATGTTGGCTCGGCGCCTATAGCTCAACCGGCTAAGGCGCCAGCCACGTACACCTAAGGTGGCGGGTTCGAATCCCCAGCCCGGACCCGCCAAACAACAATGATGGCTGCAACCAAAAAATAGCCGGGCGTTGTGGTGGGCGCCTGTAGTCCCAGCTACTTGGGAGGTGGAGGCAAGAGACTTGCTTGAGCCCAGGAGTTGGAGGTTGCTGTGAGCTGTAATTCCACTCTACCCAGGGGGACAGCTTGAGGCTCTGTCTCAAAAAAAAAAAAAAAAAACTATAAATGTTAATAAAAAATACTAAACAGTAAAAAAAATTCTTAATAGAATGAAGTAAGTGCCTCAAGTTTTAGCTCTTTTTTTTTTTAGAGACCAGAGTCTCACTTTATCGCCGTTGGTAGAGTGCTATGGCATCACAGCTCACAGCAATCTCCAACTCCTGGGCTTAGGCAATTTTCTTGCCTCAGCCTCCCAAGTAGCTGGGACCACAGGCACCCACAATACCCGGCTACTTTTTGGTTGCAGTTTGGCCGGGGCCGCATTTGAACCCCCCACCCTCGGTATATGGGGCCAGCGCCCTATCCACTGAACCACAGGCACCGCCCAAGTTTTAGCTTTTGACATCACAGAAAACAACATAGTAGCATAGGCTCAGTGCCTGTAGCCCAGTGCTTAGGACACTGGCCCATACACTGGGGCTGGTGAGTTCAAACCTGACCAGGGCCTGACAACTACAACAAAAAAATAGCTGGACATTGTGGCAGGCACCTGTAATCCGGAGGCTTAAGTAAGAAAATCACTTAAGCCCAAGAGTTTGAGGTTTCTGTGTGCTATGATGCCACAGCACTCTACCCAAAGTGACAAGTGAGACTCTGTCTCAAAAAAAAAAAAAAATATATATATATATATACACATACACATATATATTTAAAACACACAAACACACACACACACATATATATATATTTATATATAGCAGCATGGCTAAGAGATCTAAGCTAGAACACTAGATTGGAATTCTAATTCTACCAATGCCTAAATTTATGACCTTGGGGAAATTATTTAACTTCAATATGTGTTAGTCTCCTCACCTGTAAAATGAACATTATAATAGCACCTATTTCACAGAGTGTAAGGATTAAATGAGTGACTATATGTAGTGCTTAGAACAAGGACCTGGCCCATTAAGTGGTAGATGAATGTTAGCTGCTGTTATGATTATTAATAGTTCAAGGAAATCTGTACAGAAAAATACTTGAAATATGTTAGAAATGCTCTCTGAGCCAGGCATGGTGGCTCACGCCTATAATCCTAGCACTCTGGGAGGCTGAGGCAGGCAGATTGCCTGAGTTCACAGGTTTGAGAGCAGCCTGAGATAGAGCGAGACCTTGTCTCTAAAAATAGCTGGGCATTGTGGGGGGCTCGTATAGTACCAGCCTGGGAGGCTGAGGCAAGAGAATCACTTGAGCCCAAGAGTTGGAGGCTGCTGTGGGCTATGACGCCATGGCACTCTACCAAGGGCAACTTAATGAAACTCTGTCTCCAAAAAAAAAGAAACGCCCTTTGAAATAAAAGCATATTCACTTTACAAACAGTAAAGTATATATAATGAACAATACTGTTGAAATAGTAAGAGATCAATCATTAAGAAATTTCTCAATGTGTACTATAAAACCAATGAATGTACATACAATCTTTACAAACAATAATCCTGTATCCTTTACAGAAATGATAATGCATTCCTATTTTCACTATAGAAACTATAAAGTTTCATGTGGCATCAACTGCTAAAGTAAATAAGCAGGCCATTAACCTGACACTCTGTCTACCTTGAGTTCCTAGGTACAACCCCCAACCTAATTTAGTATGTAAGGAAACTGAAACCTAACTAGGAGTATTCTTTGATAAGAAATAGCTGGTTTTCAGCCAATCACAAACAGCAGAGCTTCAGCTAATCATGGGCAGCCAGCTGTTCAAATCATGCCCCAGTAAGGCAAAAGCCACATCCCACCATGCCCAAATAAGGCAAACATACAGGTGTAGCCAATCTAAAGATTTCTCTACTTCGCTTTGTTCAACCTACAAAAGCTCACTGCTCATGGTGCCCGGTAGAGTGCTTTGAGCTCTTCCTGTTCTGAGTGCTGCCCAATTCACAAATCATTCTTTGCTCAAATAAATCATAAATTTGTCTAAAGTTTTTCTTTTAGCGTAATTATGGAGGCCTTTTAAGGAACTCAGTGATAGCAACCTTCCCTGCTTAGCGTCAGGTGTATGATTCCACTTCTATGGAACAAGAAATTCTATATAAGCAGAAAATACATTAGCAGTTCTCTTGGGCTGGGAGAGGGGAAATGGGGAGTGACCACTAATGGCTATGGGGTTTCTTTTGGGGGGTGATAAAAACATTTTATTTTATTATTTTTTTTTTTTTGCAGTTTTTGGCCAGGCTGGGTTTGAACCTGCTACCTCCACTGTATGGGGCCGATGCCCTACTCCTTGAGCCACAGGTCTCACCCCAATAAAAATGTTTTAAAATCAGATGTTGTGATGGTAGTACAACTCTGTGAGCCAAAAAACACTGAACTGCATACTTTTAAGCAGGAATGCAAATTACATCTCAATAAAGTTATTTATTTTTTTGCAGTTTTTGGCCGGGGCTGGGTTTGAACCTGCCACCTCCAGCATATGGGGCCAGCACCCTACTCCTTTGAGCCACAGGCGCCGCCTATTTTTTTTTTTTTTGTCAATAAAGTTATTTTTAAAAAATATTTTCCTTCAGATGAGCTTCAAACTACAATTGTGTGCTGTATTAGTGTTTTTTGGTTTTGTTTTGTTTTGTTTTTACAGTTTTTGGCCCGGAGCCGGGTTTGAACCCAACACATCCAGTATATGGGGCCAGTGCCCTACCCTTTCAGCCACAGGTGCCGCCCTCTATTAGTGTTTTTAGTTTGGCTAGGCACCTGTAGCTCAGTGGCTAGGGTGCTGGCCACATACACCAGGGCTGGCGGTTCAAACTTGGCCCAGGGCTGCCAAACAACAATGACAACTACAACAACAACAAAATAGCCAGGCATTGAGGCGGGCACCTGTAGTCCCAGCTACTTGGGAGGCTGAGGCAAGAGAATCGCTTAAGCCTAAGAGTTTGAGGTTGCTGTGAGCTGTGACGCCATAGCAGTTTACCGAGGGTGATATAGTAAGACTCTATCTCAAAAAAATAAATAAATAGGACAGCGCCTGTGGCTCAGTGAGTAGGGTGCCAGACCCATATACCAAAGGTGGTGGGTTCAAACCTGGCCCTGGGCAAACTGAAACAAAAAACAGCCAGGCATTGTGGTAGGTGCCTGTGGTCCCCGCTATAGTCGAGAGACTGAGGCAAGAGAATCGCCTGAGCCCACGAGCTGGAGGTTGCTGTGAACTGTGATGCCACAGCACTCTACCAAGGGCGACAAAGTGAGACTTTCTCTAAGAAAAGAGAAAATATAAGTAAATAAATAAATAAATAAAATAGCACATATTAGATAGAGTGGGGAAGCTATGTAATTTAAGCACTATCCAAGCATAGTCTTCTTGTACTCTGACTTATTTCATGCCAAGTGAAAGAAAAAGTAAAGACAAAGATATTGTAAGATCTTATGTCAATCAAACTGTGAGACTTAAGGATATTGTCAAAAGTATTCAAAAATTACCTGTGGGTCAAGATAAGGAGATGTGACAGCTAAGCAAAAAAGACCGCAAAGAGATTCCAGAGGGGAATCAAATGGATGAATAAATGGTATTCTCTGAAACTAACTCATATCTTTGGATTGAAGGAACAGAGCCAGTGAAACACAATCTTCTGATGCTTCCTGTGACATTGCTAAGACTGGGTTCTGCTTTTCAACCCTACCCTGGATAAAAAGCTATAGTGCCTGGCACAGCCAGAAAACTAAGGCTGGTATAAATAAGAGTTCATTCCACTGCATCAACTGTTTCTGCAGGAAAAGTATACATACATCTTCAGTATGGTCTTTAGAAAACTCTTGTTCTGCCTATTACTTAAAAATTATAGGACTGGGTTCAGCATCCGTAGCACAGTGGTTACAAGGCTGGTGGGTTTGAACCCGGCCCAGGCCAGTCAAACAACAATGACAACTGCAACAAAAAATAGCCATGCCTTATGGTGGCGCCTGTGGTCCCAGCTACTTGGGAGGCTGAGGCAAGATAATCACTTAAGCACAAAAGTTTGAGGTTGCTGTGGGCTGTGATGCTACTGCACTCTTGAGGGTGACATAGTGAGACTTTGTCTCAAAAAAAAAGGGGGCCAGGTGCGATGGCTCATGCCTGTAATCCCAGCACTTGGGAGGCCAAGGTGGGTAAATTGCCTGAGCTCACGGGTTTGAGACCAGTCTGAGCCAGAGCAAGACCTCACCTCTAAAAATAGCTGGGCATTGTGGCAGGGGCTTATAATCCCAGCTACTTGGGAGGCTGAGCTAGGAGGATTGCTTGAGCCCAAGAATTTGAGGTTGCTGTGAGCTACGACACCATGGCATTCTGCTGAGGGCAAGAAAGTGAGACTCTGTCTCAAAAAAATAAATAAATTATAGGACTGGGGCTAGGCAAGGTGACTTACACCTGTAATCCAGGCACGCTGGGAGACTGGGGCAGGAGAACTGCTTGAGCTCAGGAGTTCAAGACCAGCCTCAGCAAGTACAAGATCCCCTCTCTGGTAAACAAATGGAAAAATTATCTGGGTGTCATGGTGGGCACCTGCAGTCCCAGCTACTTGGGAAGCTGAGGCAGGAGGATTACTTGAACCCAGGAGTTTGAGGCTGCTGTGAACTAGGCTGATACCATGGCACTCCAGCCTGGGCAACAGGGTCAGACTCTGTCTTGGGAAAAAAAAAAAAATTATAGGACTAGGTTTAACAGAGAAGGTATGAGTGGAAAGAAAGTTATCAGGGTCCACATTAATGTACACAGCTATGATTTAATAAAAAAAAAAAAAATCATAAAAAAAAGAAAAAGAAAGTTATCAGGGTCCATACCCCTTTTCTGAAATCCTTGGAGCAACATGTATTTTGGGATTCAGAATTTTTCAGATTTAAGAACAGTAAGATAAAACGTATATATAAACAGAGCACTGCCTGCTGGGTGTGGAAAAGTATCCCATACCCAAATACATCCATATTCATTCCTACAATAAAAGAGCATCTAAATACTTACACTAAATGGGATAAAGACCATAAGGCCCATCTCAGTTTAGGTCAGGTTTTATTGACAGACTGGTTAAGAAAAATTTCACTTTTAGCCTCTGTGGATTTTAGAATTATATAACAGTAGACCAGTACTGGTTTCTCACTTTCACCACTGCAACCCCTAGTTAATGGACCTCTAGTGTAAGAGGCTGGCTGTCCAAGGTTAGCAAGGAAATCAGAAACTCTAGAGATGGCTCAAAGGTTTTTTCAGTGGCTTGTATTTCCTAATCAGGGTTACTTCATTGCATTAAGTGACCCCACTGACAAGTTTTATTAAACAATATGTGTATCTTCAAGCTAACTGATTACTCTTCATTTTATTCCAGGTAGAGTTAGCCAAATATAAAAGACATATTTGAATCTCTCCTATAAAATAGGGAAAGAAAAAATACTTACTTTGGGTAACATATGCACCAAAAAGAATCCACATGGAAGCAATAAGTGACCCAAACATCAACATGAAACCAATAAAAAGCCAAACTCGAGCACCTGTATGGAGAAGAGGCTTTGTGATTTTGCTCATTCTTGTAGCTCTATAAAGTTTTAGGAATACCTAACACTAGAAACACCGTGAACCTAATATATATATATCATGCATATCAAAGACAGTCACATATTAATATAAATCTGCTATAAGTTAAATAAATGATTTTTTAAAAAACTAACAAAAACTAAGAAGTGTTAACCATATCTGGAAAGAGAAGTTATCATTTTACTGACTAGAGAATCTGAGACCCTAACTAAAAAATTACCCTGTTACATTATCAAAGAATTGCTACTCTTTCAAAAGTAGTAAATGAATTTTATTTATTTATTTATTTAGAGACAGAGCCTCAAGTTGTCACCCTGGGTAGAGTGCCGTGGCATCATAGCTCACAACAACCTCCAACTCCTGCGTTCAAGTGATTCTCCTGTCTCTGCCTCCCAAGTATCTGGGACTACAGGCACCCGCGGCAACGCCCAGCTATTTTTTGGTTACAGCCATCATTGTTGTTTGGTGGGCTCAGGCTGGATTCGAACCCGCCAGCTCAGGTGTATGTGGCTGGCATGTTAGCCACTTGAGTCACAGGTACTGAGCCAGCAAATGAATTTTAAATAGCCATTAACACACAAGAATGACAGCCTTCAAATGAATGAGGACCAATATGTAAGCTTCTAAAAATCACACCATTACTCAATATAGTACAAAGAGTGGTCATTCTTCAGGAATATATTAATGCTTTTTAAGACTGAGGCAGCCAACCTTTACCACATACTCTTACAAAGTTCAAGGTCAGAAGCATCTATTCAACTTTCTATTACATGAAATTATAGAATCTCAATAATATTATCATCTGGACACTTGAGTTGATTCAATATATTTTTTAGGAAAGCAGACATTTAGTTGACGCAACATATTTTTTAGGAAAGCAGGTTAACATTTGTGTCAGACTCTGTGCCTAAGTGTACTGATAACCCCATCACCCAAAGAAGGGGTAAAAAGTTCCACTGAAGTGAAAAATAAAATCCTAGCCAATTTCCATAAAGAAAACTAAATTTACTTCAATTGCAAATACTGTTACTAAGTGAACAGAAATTCATATATTTTGGACACAAGATAAGTAATAATTGAAGCTCAACATGATTGGAATAACTGATATTTGAGGGAAATAAGCCTCCAGATTATATAAATTTTATTACAATACTAAGCAGATCTCCAGAAACATAATATTTACTCCTTGGAGAAAGGTAACTTTTAAACTACATTCAATCACAGATTTTATCTAAAGTAAAAGGAACTATTAAAAATCCTTTTAATTATTTTCCATACGTGTACCCATACATGTTAAACTTTCTAGTAGAACTAAAGAACTAAAGAAGAAAAAATTTTATCTTAAAAAATAAGGATGCTTTTGTTTAGCAAAAAAAATTTTTAAATCACACTGTCCCGTTTTTGCTTTGGCTATAAGAAAACTCTGAATTAAGGTTAATAAACAATTTAAGCATCCATCTTGTCCCAGATTCTTTTTTTCTTGAGATAGAGACAGACCCATGTCACCCTCAGCAGAGTGCCATGCTGTCACAGGTCACAGCAACCTCCAACTCTTTGGCTTAAGCAATTCTCTTGTGTCAGCCTCCGAAGTAGCCGAGACTACAGGCGCCCATCACAATGCTTGGCTATTTTTTTATTGTAGTTGTTTAGCTGTTGTTTTAGCTGTCCTGGGCCGGGTTTGAACCTGTCACCTTTGGTGTATGTGGCTGGTGCTGTAATCACTGTGCTATGGACACCGAGCCCTTGTTCCAGAGTCTAACAATCATCTTTCTCTATATAGTTTCTGCTCTTTTTTATAGCTTTACTATTTAACAGTTTCATTTATAGTATATTTATTATGTTGATGATACTTTCCTATAAATTTCTCTGGTAATCAAGTGGAGATAGCTTACAAATAAACCATTTAGGTAGTACAAAAGCTTAAAGAAGCAATCTCTGAGCCTGTCTATAAGACAGTTTGCTCTTAATTTTTGAAGTGCTAGATGAAACTTGCACTATGTGCACCACATATAAATATAAACTGCACTGTGGATTTTAACTGAGTAGGAAATAATCAGAGAACAAAATGTAACAATCACTTGATGGGGTAAAAAGTTTGGGCTGTGGAATCAGATCAAAGGCAAATACAAGTGACACTCATAAGCTAAAAAAAAAATTGAATCAGTTACAATGAAACTTTCTACAAAAAATAGATAATTATCATAATCCACAATAATGCCTATGGATTTTTTTTTTTTTAAGAGACAAGGTCTCACTCTGTCACTCAGAGGTCACCCACTGAAGTACAATTGTGCAATTATAGTTCACTGCAACCTCAGACTCTTGGGACCAAGCCATTCTCTTGCCTTAGCTTCCTGAGTAGCAGGAACTACAGGCATGTGCCACCATACCCAGATAATTTTTTCAAAAAAATCCTTTAGAGACAGGGTCTCACTATATTGCCAAGGCTGGTCTCAAACTCCTGGGCTCAAGCAATTGTCCTTCATTCTTCCATACTGTTGGGATTACAGATATGAATCACCACACCCAGCATGTCTGTAGAACATTGTTTAAAGAAAAACAAGTGAATTATTATGGACTCTACATGCAACACTTTCATTTGCTAATACAAATTACTTTCTTATTCTTTACCTTCCCTCGTTCTTGACATACTGCTGAGGCTGGGCCACAGGATAGGCTATAAGTGAGCTCACACGTACACATGCACTGTGTACTTTTAACTTACACTCATGTATCATTTGTCACCATACTCTCCTACCTAATTCTCCATGGATTCCAGTAGAAGTGAGGTTATCAAAGCTATCACACAACTTAAAGCATGAGTTAAAAAATAAATCTAAGCTTTTCAGTCCTTTATTTGGTTTATATGGTTATGGTATTTACTGTGTAATCCCATTTATATGAAATCATAGAAAAAGCAAACCTACAATGATTGAAAACAGGTCAGTGGTGGCCAGGAGGAGAGGGAATGGGGATTAGCTACAAAGGGTCTTATGAGGGTCCTATAATAGGGTCTTATGAGGGTCCTATAATATAATAATATAATAGAAATATTCTGGCTCGGCGCCTGTGGCTCAAGTGGCTAAGGCGCCAGCCACATACACCTAAAGTGGCGGGTTCCAATCCAACCCTGGCCCGCCAAACAACAATAATGGCTGCAACCAAAATAGCCAGGCGCTGTGGCGGGTGCCTGTGGTCCCAGCTACTTGGG